GGCAGTTGTCAATACTCAAAAATCGAAATTCCTTAAATTATGCCATGTTACGAATGTAAGGCAGCTTGTTATTAGGTTGTTTTTCAAAAAAAAAATCCACTCCATGAGATTCGATATTTTAAATCTCATTGATACCAAATCCAAAATGCGTGAAAGTATTACACTATGTTTGTGGGTTGAAAGGACAAAAAGATCTAGTGTTTGATTAAAATTTAATTTGCTTCCAATTAGCGTCCATCTGGAACATGAAAATCATTCACGTTGTTTCTCAGATTGTTCTTAGTGTTTCAACTGGTTTTTTTTAACATGTTGTATCAATCGGTGAATTTTCTAGTACTAATCAGATGATTCCATAGCATTTTCCACTTTCTGATTGCGAATAGCCCAGAACCAACGAAGAGTCAAGTAATAAACAAGTTCAACGATGCTCAATGCTGAAATGCCCATGAGCAAACCGAGCAAGCCGCCACAAATCGCTAGAAAATCTCCAACAGTATACATTACCACTCGCTTCACCGTTTCCACTTCCATGGTGGAAAAAAAGATAGCCACTCTAGTCTGCTGGATGCTAAAACGATTGATTTCTGGTCAATTTGATTTCATAATATGATTTTTTTATCGTGTGAAAATTAGATTCATAATATTACCCAGGCTCAGATCGGTTCGTTTGAATTCCACTGATTTTGTTTATGGCCACCGAATCGAATTTAACCCGGTCAAGTTGCGCATTGTATTCAATTGATGTGCATGCGGGTAAACAATTACATCCACCAGATGTGGTGTAAAAGCTTCGCCCAAAATAGAATCCATGGGCATATTCGCAGCAAGAGAGACTCGATACGTTGCATATTGGTGTATTTTTGTCCCCTATAAAAATGTATCACAAATATTTTCTTGAGTACAATTACAAACACCGTGTGGATAATATGGACATACTTGGCATAGCGAATTTCACGCAACCACATTCGGTTTTCGTGAAATTCGCTAAACATTCCGCTTCGCAGTTGTCTTGAGTATAGATATTGAAGAACCGTAGTTGACGCTCGTGTTGATAGAAACACTGACGTTGATACGGCTCATAGCCGCGTAGTCCATCTGATGTGATGGTTAATTTGGGAGTGATCGCAATTTGTGTATTTTCTGAGAGTGGCACGCGATAAGCATTCCACGGCACTGTTAGTTCTATGCCAGGTGGTGTTAAAATGACTCGAAACCCTTGATTAAAGCCAGTGCAGTTCATTGTAAAATCTCTTTCTCGAAATAGAAGAACAACGTCAAGAGCCACACGCTGGCCTGTATCTGTCACACGAACTGGGTATACCGCTTCGTTTGATTTAACTTCGTAACCATTTTCCAAACTCCATTGTGACGAATTCGGATTGTTTTTGACGGTAATCATTTCCGATGCCATTCTGAAAATACATTTAGTTACCGACACACTTTCGTTAAATTTTATTTGATCAAAACCTACGCGTCCGAGTATATCTCATAAGAGTTTGGTGCATTAAATGTGAAACAAAGACCGACTTCCGTTAGGACTGGTACAAAGTATTCAGAACAGTTAACCATTTTGCTTTGCCACAAGCACTTGGACAATGTTTCATCGAATTGAGGAGCTATGTATTTGATTATGTCGTAGATTGATTGATCCGAGTGGCCACTCGGGTGGCTGTACTCCTAAATTCATATGTGAAATTAAAATCATATGTTGAATCAACACGGAAAAAGGATGCGAATCATGATGAATTTGTCTACCTGAATGAACCGACTCCAATTTTTCATTCGGAAATCATAATAAAAATTTGGACAAACATGGGCCAGACTACTAAATAGAATTTGTCTGTGAAAACGGGAGGCACAGAAATTAGTGTTGATGAAAAAGTGTCCAAATAAGGCAAAAAATACTCATTATGGGATAATGTCGCCAGGGATTTGATTGCAGCATCCACGTCGAACTTTTGTTTGTTGGTTTTGATTTCGGGACAAATGGTGACAGTTGGAAATGGAATGGCTGAAATTTCACTCGAAGTAAACTGCATGCTCACTGGATTTTCGTCCCATTGAATCCAAATGTTTTGAATCATTGAGCCACATATCCATAACGATAAACCAACGAAAATCAACCACCAACATCGTTCACTCCAATGCAGCAATCGTTCACTGAGATATCGAACGCCATGGATGTTGCTGTTGTCACACAGTTCGAAGAAGAGTGTTTTGATCGGTTGAGCAAATCGAATTGTAATATTCTTGAGACACTTCAATTGAGTTATTTTGTTTGAATAATCAGATCTCAACCGTCGAATCGTCCAGAACCAATGAAGTGTGAAAAAGTAAACGAGTTCAATGATGCTTAAGGCTGACATGCCCAAGAATAATCCCAATAAACCACCGCAAATGGCCAAAAAATCAGAGAACGTATACGTTTCAACTCGTTTCACTATATCCACATCGGAGCTTTTGATCCAAACAGCCAGAATTGCCAGATGAACGCTGGAAAATAAAATCGCAAGCAATTATCAAATTGCACCAGCAAGGTATTTAATCATACAATTTACATTTGAATTCAATGTAACAAATAAGAAAATTATTCGCACATTTGGAATTAGTGGAGAAGGCATAGCGCCTAACACAAAATGCACTCATACAGTGTCGCTATCGTCAAACACATAATGAATCTAATCGAAACATACCCTTGACCTTTCGGTACTGTTGCAACAATGCCAAAATTGGATCGATCGATCTCTGCTTTGTATTCGATTGATGTGCATGCAGGCATACAATTGCATTTCTCACGAAACCTCTTACCACTCTCAACCGCTGCTAATTTCCTTCGAGCTGCCTGATAACAGTTAATGCTTGCCACGCCACATATTTTTGTATTAATGTCCCCTATGAAACATAATTGTGAAGCTATTTCGGAATGAAATTGATCATAATTGCATACTTGGCATAGAAAATTTCACGCATTCACACTCCATCTTGGTAAAATTCGCACGGCACTCCTCTTCGCAGTTTATCTGAGTGTATAATTTGAAGAAACGTAATCGACGCTCTAATTGATAGAAACAATCGCGTTGGTACGGCTCATATCTTCGTAGTCCATCTGATGTGGTGATCATTTTGGGTTTAATCATAATGCGGGTATCTTCAGAGATTGGAACTCGAAAAAAGTTTCGTGACATAGTCCACGTCTCGCCAGGTATGGTCAATGCCACTTTAAATCCTTGATAAGCATTACCAAAATATTCAAATTCTCGGTTGTAAATGAAGAAACTAATTAGAAATTTAGCAGGATCTCCCGAATATCCGCGATTTGGGTATTCAATTCCATAACCAAATAAGTTCTTATATCCTCCTTCTAAACTCCAATTTGATACATTTGGATTAGTGTTTACGATCATCATCCCAGGTGCCATTCTGGAAATGAAGTTTTTGTTAGCCATTTGATTTAGTAAGGATAAAAAATCAATGGAAAATTTTCGGTAATTTGAGCATGAAATTGATCGCCTCATTATGGTGACAAAAAAAAACTTTCGAATTTTAACCATTTCCATCCCGAAATGGCGGATTTTCGTCACGAAAAATAAGCCTGAAGTTGTCAAAAGTACATGTGTTCAAACAACTATGCCCTGCAAGCTCAATTGGTAAAAACCATTTTATATTGAAATCTTTTGACCAAATCCGCTATCCCAGCCCAATTTTCACGACAAACCCCTATTTGGGGTTTGTTCAGCGCACTAAAAGCTATGACACCAAATACTTACGGTGGATACCAGTAGAGATAATGTGAAAAAGGACCAAAACTATTAATTACTTCATAGGTAACGAACCCTTGAAATTCAATTTTTGATATCACTGATTTGCTAATTTTACATAATTTTCGACAAGAAATCGATTATTGATCAAAATATCTGGCAGCTTTATATGATTTTAACCGAAAAGAGCAAATTACGACCATGAGCTTCTGTTTCTCAGCTAAATCACTTCACTCAGCAAACAATTTCACTCAAATGTTGTTTTACTACCCCGAATTCGATTCTAAGAAGCAAACTATAAACAATAATCATACTCATCCGTATATATCTCATGCGAATTGAGAGCGTTGAGAGCGTAGCAAAGGCCTTCATCTGTCAAAACTGGAACAAGTAATTTTGAGCAGTCATTTTTGAAATTCCAGCGACAGCCAGCAGGAATGAAATATCCAAAATCTAAAGCAACATCTTTAATGGTGTCATAAATTGATTCATCGCTAAATTGTTCGGAGTATGTGACAAATTTCAACAAACGTGGATAGAGATGTGCAAACGCTTTCAATCCATTTACTCTGTAGCAAATACAAATTCGTCATTCAAATTTCTAACTCAACAATATGTGGCTTCTTACTCTGTTTGTGTTAATGGTGAATTAGCATGCAATGAATAAACCGCGTGCGTTACATTAAATTTTTTCTTCATTGATTTAATTTCAGGGCAAATGGTGACGGTAGGAAACGCAATGTTCACAGCTGACAGAGATTTATCAGCGAAGCTCAGGGTCATTGGGTGTTCATGCCATTGATTCCAGATGTTATGGATCATTAGTCCACACAAAACTAGTGAAACACCAACAGCAAGCATCCAATAGAACCTACGTTTGATATGTGGATAATTAATTTATAATAATCTTATAGCAGAGAAACCGCATTCCCTATACTTTTCACTCCAATGTAGTCGCTTGTTAAAATAACAAAGACCATGGATGTTGCTATTTTTACAGGTCCCGATAAAAAGTGACCGAACTCCACTGCCAATGGTGATGAGTAACTTTTTCTAATTTGAATGAAATACTTAGATCTCAGTAATGAATGGTCAAATGATTGAATTCGGGATTAATAAGATATTCAATGGTGTTGACATATACAAATGCGATAAAATTCATCGCAAAAGTAGATGTCAGCACCATTAAATATATGGTTTATCCCGGTTTGCGATGTCATTTAGAGGTTATCTTTTCTGTTTGTGGTAGTGAATATTCACGGTTGATACAAAAATGAGTAAATATTTTTTGAATATATAAAACAATACAAATATATTTGCAACTGGATCTTTCCCCTAGAAAACTATTAACTTACAATAGATTGAATTCGGCTTTGAATTCTCAATTTGACGCGTCTTATTTGCTCCATTGTTCAATTTTTTTTAGTCAGATCCAAATAAGATTTGCATCAAATTCCAAGCAGTGACTGTCGATGACTGAGTTCCAGGTTCTAGAGGTATTTTGAATAGTATAACAAATAAAACAATTAATCTAATTCAAACGATAAATTTTTTTTTCATTTTAAACAATTTCAATACATAACATGATTATAATCAGTGATTTTTTGTGATTGATTAGGAGTTCCAACGCTCCAGAATAATAATGCTTTGAAACAATGTATTCAGATGAAGGACTTTATTAGGTTTATTGAAAAATAAGTCATTGAAGGTCAAACGCGCAATCAAAGCAGAAAAACGTGTGAAAAATCAATGAAATTATTTTTAATGCCACTTTTCCATGCACAATTGTTTTCCAAACTTTTTGTATCATTGATTTCAATACATTGTATTTGATATTTCAATCTAATAAAAAGCAAATAAGCATAAGAATCCATCAACTCGATTGGACAATGACAATATTTTTGAATTTACGGCGCAATAATGATTCATCATTGATGAATCATCAGTAATATGGAAATATTGTCCAAACTCACGGAATTCCGAAGGAAATGATGGTCGATGCATGGAATATGAAAAAGTGAAAGCGAAAATAAATGAGCTCACTCTCAATTACAATACCCTGGAAGTTGATGAAAGTGAAAAGAACAGATGATGCCACGTGCCACATTTCTATCGTTTGGTAAGTGCGAGTCTTGATAAAACTGAATGATTGTGCCAGAATCTAATTGAACGTATGGCTTCATCATTAAACCGGTCACGCAATTTTCTGGTGGAGTTTGTTTCAAGTGTATTTTAAACAATTGGCCAGGTATGAGAAGTATGGGTCTCGGAAAATATATGAGAGTTTGGTTGTTGCTTTGCAGTACTCTTGGTTCATTCAAAATAACTGTTTCTTGTTCTCCCGGACTAGCAATACCATCATGGTATTGGTACATCATTCGCGGGAAAATAATCATTTTGACGATATTCAGAAATTCGATCAAAAACTAGAGCATACAATAAGATTGGGTCACTAGTTGATAATGTAGTGGTTTCGACGGGTTTTATCTGATACGGTGCTAAAGAGTAAGAATTTGAAATTGCTCGTTCACATAATAAGTACGTGTCTTTTCCGCTCGGAATATCGTCAGTACGATGGTCATTGTTGCAACTGAAGATTTCTGATTCGTTTTGTTTAGCTCGAATCAGTTCAGTGATGATGGCATATTCATCGTTCGAGAATAAAATTCTGTACTTTTTGATGAAAACACTCAAATCCTCCATATTGATTGAACCAATTCGGATGTCTTGGAACATATCACCGTATTTATCGCGAACAAGCTCTTTGGTCAAACTAGTTTGTTTGCTGTCTGCCAGAATCCAAACGATGAACGCTTCAAATAGCTGGAACTCTGTACACGACAACCATTTTAGCTTCAAAATACTTGCCATCACTTTGCGGTCACTCCGCAGAAAAGAGTTTGATTTTAGTACGGATTTTGTGTCCAGGCCGATCATTGACTCGCACGCTTTCTTCAGATCATCTTGTTTAAAGGACATCGACAATCCATAGATCCCACAAACGTTTTGAAAGTTGATGATTTTTTTTTGGAAATTCCACACAAATTGACATACATTTTTCGACATTGTAGTGATTTCCCAGGTTCATCACTGCAGCAACATTATTTATGGTTAATTTGACGCGACCAAGGTAGAAAAATTGTAAAAATTCCTTAAATGATTCGATCGATGCACCGTCGATGTACACTTCATCTATTTCCTTCCAAGAACCATTGAACTTCGTCCGAAAGACATTGCTAATGGTCATTAGAATAAATCGATGGACAGGAAGACGTTCGACATGACCATCAGTTGACTCGAATATAAAGTGCACATCGGTCAAATCAGAGCTCAAATACAGCTTTTCTATAAACGTTTGGAGAATATCGCTTTCGAAAACGTCTATCGTTGGTAACGGAAAATCATTGCCATCATTGGTTGAAATCGATCTGTTGAAAGAAATGACAACCATACAAGTAAAAACACCTTTGTAAAACCCATTTTTGATTTCATAAACGTTAGACAGAAATAGACAATATTCATTTTGAAATTCGAATATAAAAATCAATTCTTAAGTTTTTTTCATGAATACAGAATGATTCTCTAATTAGAAAAATTATTTATAAAAATTTTCAATTTTAATGAAAAGATATTTCAAAATCTATCTTACCACTTAGCGGGCAGATTTCTTTTAGAAAATAGCAATAAAATTGATCAATCAGTACAGATTCTGTAGAATGAAGTTTTTTCTACTTCTTTTTTCTCTTGAATTTAATGTTTAATTTTGTTTTTGTTGAGGTTTTTTCTCGTGTATTTTATTTAATTGAAAAATGCTTTACAATAAAGTGTATCATTTGTTTAAAACAAAGCATTTTTTCAATTTAATGTTTATGTTTCGAAATACAAGAATCGACTGATTTACAGAACAAATTCTGGCTTCTAGTTTACATGCTAAAAATAGCCATATCGTGAATCAGGTAATGAGATTTGGATCAAAGGTGAGGTATTTGTTCCAACAGTTGTCATTCTCGTTTTTTTTTTAATTCTTTCATAATGACAAAATTAGCATTTCAAAAGGGATTCAGCCATGTTTCCTACCTGTTGCATTTATGATTTTCTCAAATAATTATGCTCATCTAGGGGACCAATTGAGTTGTCAACAGAATGCATAGCAATAACTAAAAGATGTCATAAATTTCTCTAGAGCCTTTCAGTACCAATGTCTCAGTCAAATCTGTAAGAATTTTTATGATGCTATCAGTAACAAACTACCCAGACAAATGAAGGAAGGTAAAACGTTATCTCGTTTATGATGCCAAGTACTTTTTCGCATTTAGCTGCTGCTTGAGTGAAAGAAACTTTTATCATTTATGCACTTTGTAAGCAAAAGATTAATTTTATTTTTCGTTAGCAAACGATGGATCAAAGTAGAACTTTGAAAGTACATTCTCATGTTGAAAACGGAGTGTCGGAACAATTGACACATTATTTCGAATCGAATCGATTTGAAATTGATTATTGTCCTTCTACTTCACTTTTAATATCAAAATTGAATTTATTACCATCTCTATGAAAACTAAACGAATTTGAATTTCGATATTTCCAAAGATTGTGTTAAATTTTTGTAAAACACTGTTTCAAGTAGATTCTATTAACGGACATGCGAAACGAAAGAATGATTCATATCCGTTCTTTTGTGACCAAGATCATGTTGTACTGTGCCGCAATCGCTTCTTTACCTCGTGAAGAAGTTTTCGTGTCTCATATTATTTTGCTTTTGATTGCAAAAATTTTGAATTTTATGACTAAAATATGACTTAATCATACGTCATGGGAATTTTTCCATAGGAAATGACTGTGTAAACGTACTCAAATTGTCATCACAACACGCTAAAGTATTTCCAATGAATTTGTTCAGTGAACAATGTTCACTTTTAACGCAATCTCGTTATCTCTTATTGATTTTTTTTTGGTGACGGCACGCTGTTTATTGATATAAAAGGGCGTTTCAAATCAAATATTGTTTAACTGATTTTCAGTTTGTGTTTGGCAATAAAACAGAGAATAGTTTGTTTTCGTTGTCAGTTGTGTTTGATGAGTTTGGCAAGTGCGTTGAACGTTTGAAGGTTTTGTGTGTTTACTGCTATAGAAAACGTCATAGAAAAAAATCAGTTTTTAGTTTTACAAAAAACATAATCCTCTTTATTCAAGTCCAAAACAACTGAATTAATAAAATGGACTTCATACAAAAGTCCCTTTGTACTCTGGTCGTAATTTTGTGTGTAGCAAATATGTTAGTTTCGTGTCAACAAGTTTCACCCAACGCGATTGAGGGAATTTTTTTCAAACCATGGCAACTTTTTCGACCAGCAGTAATTCAGCCAGTGAAGTGTTTCGTATGTTCTTCGATGGATGATGGTCAGACTTGTGTACAAACAGTTAGTTATAACTTTCTATGTGAAAGTCCATCAGGAATGTGTTACACGAACATTGTTGATGGCAAAGTGACTAGAGGCTGTGTTGGTGATGCAACATTCCCCACGGAAAATTCAATTCGAAAATGTGCCGATGGCGTAAAATGTGAAGTGTGTAATCACAATTTTTGCAACCAGAAAGTCCTATTGGACACGTGCATCCAATGCAACAGTGCAGACAGTGGCAATGCATGCAAAGATAATCCAAGTTCAAACATGCAAGCCGTGTGTACGGTGGGTCAAAATTCAGTAATGGATCCATCGTCTGGTTGTTATTTGGGTATAACTGGCAGCATTTACCAGAGAGGCTGTGTTCAGGATCTAAAATCACGAGATAAGAATACGTGTGAGAGTCAATCGAAAGACTGTAAAGTTTGTTCGGCACCAAATTGCAATCGAAAAGCCGATTTCAGCATAAATTGTTTCGAATGCAGCGAAAAAACGGATGCGAATTGTGTCGAAGGTGAAAATTTGAAACAAGTTCCGTGTAATGAGTTTTCGGACACATGTGTGGTCGGCATCGATGGAGACGGATTTACACATCGTCGATGCATTCGCAACCATGGACTCGCTTTGGCCATGACATTTTCGAAATATCAAACATGCCATACAAATCTATGTAACAATCAAATATTCCCAGAAAATCGACTCAAGTGCTACCAATGTCAAGGGATTGGATGTGAAAATTTGAGCACAGTTTCAACACCAAAAGCATGCCCCAATTCATACAATGAAGTAGATAGATGCTTTACATACGCGGATAAAGGTATTTGATGCATTTTTTTCTAGTGTTTTCTCAAATAATTTTCGATCAAGGGCACAATGTGCACTGCACATAATACATCCGAAATGCACAACCTGAAAAGAATCGCATAGAATTATAAATTGCCCAAAAGTATCCATTTTTGGCGGGTAAAAAAACTCAAAAAGAAAAGATTGGTTAAAGAAAATTATTTTGTGTTGAATTTCTGAAAATTTCACCTGAAATTTGTCTTTATTTCTTTTATTTCATTTTAGACCGCACATTTTACCGTGGCTGCATGTCTGACTCTACCGAAGGAAAGGCGCTGTGCGAACAAAATATGTTGAATTGCAAAGTGTGTGACGGTTCTGGTTGTAATTCGGATACAAAAGTGGAATTCAACTCAGTTAGCTGCAATCGAAGCTACATCACGTTCACTTTTATTTCTACAATATTTTTGTTCCTTCGATCGATAGATTTATTTTAAATACTGAGAAGTACCTATGAATAGATGTTTAATTATTTGTTGAGTTTTTTTTCCGAAATTCAGTCATCGATTTTATTGTCAATAAACACATCAAAAAGCGATCAAGGAAACACAAAGAAAATGAAATTTAGTGTGTTTTTCGTTTAAATTGAAATCTGTTGGACGCACAAACGACAGCCATTATAAGGAAGACTTACGTGAATGTTTGCGTCAAATCGATTACTAAGGTAAATAGGTTTGCTATTTACTCGCCGAATGGATAGGTTTTTGCTATTTCTATGTTTATCTTCAGTTTTACTTATCTTAATAATTTCCCCGAATTTGGACTTTTCAAAATCCTGGCAGTGCTACCATTCAACAGTCGCTCTTTATGATTCGTTGCGCACCAAAATTGAAAGAAATGAAAGTTGGCACTCTTTTACGTGCAATGCCCTTCGATCGGAACGTTCTTGATCTCCGTGCGTTGAACAAGGAATGCGAAAAATTGCAACGCACGTGTAAGGTGGTGATTTATGTCGAAGAACCCATTTTCTTAGCTACAAAATGGAACTTCAATGTGACAAACTTGAATTTAATTGAATTAAAACGGAAATCATCGTATGAATGGAATTGATCGCGACGTAGCTTTTGACAGACTGTTCTGCTGTGTTCTTCATTAAAAAAGACTAAGAGTTATAAGTTTATAACTTGTATGAATACAATAGAGTTGAACAGCGTTTGATTAAGTACAGTAACACCTCTGCAGTGACAGATCCAATCATAAACTTCGTCCGTACAACAAGCAATTTCGTATGATACAGTCGACTGTTGACTTTCATAGCATAACGCACTTCATATCTTCCATATGGGATTTGATGAAAAATACGGTATTTCACAACGGCTACAAACGGTTAACATGTTAAAATTCAAACAAAATTTTATGAAATCTTTCGTGGGATTGATAATGATTAATCAAAGAGAGAGAGAGAGAGAGAGAGAGAGAGAGAGAGAGAGAGAGAGAAAGGGGAAGAAAGAAAGAGAGCGAGAGAAGAGACGGGAAGAAATGTCGGCATTTATAATAAACATTTCAATGCCCAAGCGAAAGAGTACGATGAGGTTCTATTATGACGATAAATTTCATCGTAGACTAGCGGCAAGCGCGTGTATGCAACACATCTCCGTTCTCACTGCTGCTATGTTAAACATAGTACGCGGCTCACGCACATTGATACATAACTGGTCATGATCATGTATCGGTGTGCGTGAACAGCATACTATGTTTAACATAGCAGCAGTGAGAACGGAGATGTGTTGCATACACGCGCTCGCCGCTAGTCTACGATGAAATTTATCGTCACGATAGAGTCTCATTGTACTCTTTCGCTTGGGTGACTTATACAGCGAAGCATTTGCAAATAGGAATATCAAAAGAAAGGAATCAAAGTGAATACAAACACAGATAACAAAATGATTGTATTTTAACGTGAACGTTATCAAAACATCACTGGTTGGTTCTACTCAATGTTACATACAGCTAAAAGCATAGCAGATTGTGTGCGTTCGACAAAATACAAAGCTCTGATGTCTGTTGTCTGGCAATGTGTATGAAACGCGACATTCAGCGCTCGCTCGCGTACGTGTGTGCATTTTACAATGTACACTATACAACGCAGAAGCTATGACATCATAGCATGTGAATCTACGTAGTACAGCAAACAGCGGGTCATAAGTACTGCTTTGTGTTTACAATGAATATTACATTATCAGGTTTTGAAACATTAGTATCAAATCGCTTTTTAGTTTTCAAAGAAAGTGAAATATGAATGGTTTGGAGCGAAAATGTAATAAAGAAAATTTGAGCGGAAAATTGTCAAATGAATTGTCAAGTTCACTATAGTTTACTTTACAGTTTACTATATAGCTATCCCTTTTCCGCTCATTCATCATTGACATTTTTCCGCTCAACTTTTCTGTATTACATTTTCGCTCCAAACCATTCATATCTCGACTGTGTGTAATCTATTTGATCGGAGCAATAAAGGGGACTGTGCCATACAAGAGAAGTATTCTCCTCCATGCGAGATTCCCCTCAAAATTGTCGAATCACACAGAGCGAACGTAAATATCTGACATTTAAAAAAAACGTCATGTGTTTCCATTTTTCACCGTCTATATTATTTACGAAGCCAGCCAAATGTCATCAGTCTTTATTGAGCTTGCTGCCAAAGTGGAACAAAAAATATTTTTCTGAAATATTTCATTTCGATTCACGTTTTTCAAACATAAGTCTTTAATTTTTTTATCTTCTTTTCTTAATTTACCTTAAATTCTTTCTAGTTTCCATAATGTCAAGTGCACGTCGTCAATCGAATTTAGAAAAAACCCAAAGTTCCACCGTGAAATTGAACGAAAAAGAGCATAAAATCAAATATCATTTGCCAATAAATCAAAAGCGAATCTCTGCGAATGTTTACAAAATGTCCAAAAACATTTCGGATGATTTAAAAAACAAAATAGGAAATCAAGTAGCTGGCCCCTCAAGCGCTGAGTCACCACCGTCAATCTTTAAATTGACTATTGACTGTTGTGATGAAATATTCGAATATTTGTCACTCGTCGACTTGAATTCACTGGGTCAAACATGTATGGCGATGCAAAAAGTGGGCGGTGAATATTATCGACGAAATTTCCAAGGGGCGGAGAAATTCCTTCAAGATGATGGTATCTACACGGTGTATGCAGATGATGTGACAAATAAACGGACTCGAACGTCAGTTTTTAACAGTGCCACCGAGTTTTTATCGTATTATTATGGAGAAAAGCAGCCACTTCGTTACATTGATTGGCACATTGATGAATTTACCGCAGTCAAGCATCTGTATTTCGTGTGCATTGGATTGGATAGTCAAAAAATGGAACATTTTCAATCGTTTTTTCCCACATTGGAAGTTTTACAAATAAGACAATGCATATTATGGCGGGATAATTTCTACGAAATACTGTTGGAACAATGCAAAAAGCTGAAGCGTCTCTATGTTCAGGATGATCTTGGGTATATAATCTACAATCGGGGAACTTGGCTTCTACAAAACTATCCAACGCTTGAACACATTGAATTGACACCACGTGGCGATGCTAAAATCAATGAATTACAACAATTTTTCGTGTTGAATCCACAGATACGAAGTTTTTGTACAACGTCCGATTGTTTATTTGCCAATCGAAATAGCCTAATGGAGGTCGATACAAAATTGAATTGGTTAGAAATTAAACATTTCATAGCAAATGCATTTCATATGCGTGCAGAAGAGTTCAATATGAATGCATTCTGCAACCTATTGAATCAATTGCATGACCGTGATTTCTATAAACGATTACATTTCTTCGTCCCTGATGTGAATGAACAATTTAGTGATCAATTGGTTTCGTTGCATGGACTTGAAAAGCTTACAATCGATAAATTTACTAATTGTTACAACTTGTTGCAGTTGAAGCATTTGAAAGAGTTGAACATATTTGGATATGCAAATGCTGGGAATTTCGAAATTTTGGCCAAAAGTCTCACGAATCTGGAACGGATTCTTATTCAAGAAGCCACTTACAATGATCTATTGCCTTTCGTTCGACATTCAGTCAATTTAAAACACATGAAAATTTTCGCAAAAGAAGCTAAACAATTCAAAGGGGAGACCATTAACCTGGGAAAATTGAATCGGGAACGGGAAAAGCTATTTGGAGCACGTAAATTGATCATTTACATTGAAGATAACGTCTTTTTAGCCACGAAACGAACAGCAAGATATGGAGATATCAACTTGAATATGATCGAAATGAGACGATCCAATTCAATCTGTTGGGACTATGATTATTCTACTATTAGAACATTTCATTGAATAATTTTTTTTTTTGAATAAATTTGATGCTTTGTCATTGCTAACAAATTGATAGTTGATTGAAAGCTATGAATAAATGAAGTATACGAAATAAAAAACAATGGTTTTTAGTACAAAATTTTATTAGTTCATAGAAAAAATCGTTTACAATTGATAATGCAATTTCAGGTTGATTCGGAGCAACTTCAAATGAATTTAAGCATTGAAAAAATTGGATTTGTCCGTCAATGGTCTATGTCTAGAGTTCTATTGTATGGATTTGAGAGTTTTATTAGTCGGATTTCAATTCACTGCCATTTGTAAACGTTCAACCGATAAACCAGTGACCAGTCCAGTGGCAGTGTTGTCATAACCCAATTTGGTATCTGGGTGGAATCGAATTTCGACATCCGGCCCAAGGCGAAGCAGCGGCTTGAGTGTATTAAAAGTGTAACTCGATGGTGGCACCACTTGCTGCAAACATATTTCGTACTTGATTCCAGGTTTGATGAGGATTGGTGATGGTAAGTCAACTTGATTTGTTCCATGGGTCACCAATGTTATTTCTCCATTGAAGAGAATTTCAGAAGACTTTTTCTTCTGAGGTTGATCATCGCGACATTTCTTTGTGATCGTTATTTTCGATATAGGAAAATTCGTAACGTAATAAGCCCACCTTTCCTTATTAAAGCGGTACACATTGGCAAATGAAATACCTTTCAACATTAATGACTTGTTAGATGAAAACGTTGTCGTCTCGATGTTTTTGATCACGAAGCTATCGTTTACTATGCGACTGAGACGTATGCTCTGATTATTGGATCCTTGGGCTGAAGCCTTTTTCACGAATTTTGTTGGTAGAAATTCGGATGAAGCGACCATTCGTATCATTTCAATTAAATCTTCTTTTTCAAATAATGTGGCATTGGGTGGAATAATATTAAAGAATTCAGCCTGAGTAAATGTATCAAATGGCATTTCGTAGAATGCTTGACCCAGTTGATCACGTACATTTTGCGGTTGATTGCAATCCAAATATTTCCGTTGACATACGGCTATAGCCCAAGCCATACACGCATTGAACAATTCTCTTTTTGAGCAGTTTAATGTGTCCAATTTCAAAATGTGACGAAGTACTTTTTGGTCACATTCTAAAAAGCCATCCGATTGAAGTACTGCTGAAGTTTCGGTTTTGAGAATCGCATTCCAATACTCTATTAGGTCGTTGCGCTTAAATGGAACGGCTAGTTCATAGGCCCACAATACTGTATCTGGGGTTATATATTGCATCAAAAATGTTGAACACACATCCAAACATGGACTTCGTATTTGTCGCCAAGATACATGACACTAGAAACATGTTCCAGTCTCAATGTTACATTGGTCGACTAAAAAAACTGTAAAAACTCCTTGAACGCTTCGAATGACACATCGACGATTTTAAATTCAGCTTTTTCTTCTAGTGAACCATAAAACATAGTGTAAAACACTGGACTGGCGGCAGCTAAGATTATTTTATGCACTGGCAATTTCATCGGCTGATCGCTGTCGGAGTCGAACACAAAATGGAAATCGGCCGTCTTTTCGTCCGAAAAAAATTGTTTTTTGGTGGTCAGTGCCGCAACATTGCTGGAGAATGTCGTCTTAATTCGCACCTTTGGCATTTGTGGAATCGCCTTCATTTTCACCACTTTCATTTCCGCCTGAGAATTTTCAGAGTCATTCCCGTTTGCTTGTTCATTTTCACTTTGGATTTCGTCAATGGCGTAGGGCAGAGTAGTTGCATTTGAAAAAATGACAAAAATACTGAACGAAAAAAGAAAGATAATGCTTAGATAAGAACCACAAATGGAAGTTCTTGTAAACTTCATATTCATTTTTCTTGACGAAAATCACTTCCGAATGCAAAAAAAAAGAATTTTATTTAAACATATTTTAGTGATGAGACTACTTTAGGATACGACCATTTATCGCTGCTTTAGAATGTAATGACTTTGAACGATTGTAAGTAAAATGATTTTAATTTTTACTTTTTATTTTATTTAATGTTCTAATGTTTTCCACTCGAGAGACAAAACATGACTAACAAAAAATGCAAGCTCGTTGAACTTAGGTAGACAGGTATTTTTGCACGGCTATCGGCTAATGATGCGAGAGAGTGACAGTTGCGCCTAATTACAAACGGTTGAAGGATAATCAAGAGCCTCATTAGCCATGCAAAAATATAGGCTTTATTTTCCGTTGCATCTGGCTCAACTAATCTACCCAAGATGAAATGTTGCTAAGTAAATTATTACTTTACTCGTCACATCTACATTTGACAAACATTTACAATTTGCGTGCAATGTGGTTTACCTGAATCGTGGTATGTGTGTTTTTCTTCACTGGAAATTTCCTTATGTTTTCGATAAATAAAAGTCACGAACGAAGTTTAGAAAAACTATTTGGTGAACAATTTTATTATTTTATTTCAGAAAAAAATGACATTTGATATAAAATTCATGGTTGATGTGGATTATTGAGATAATTTCATTTATTAGGTATGTAGCAACTCAGAAATAGGTGTGATATCAGGGCTTCTAGAGCCTCTAGAGTTCAAAAAACTATAGTGATATGATGATTTCTTGCAGCCGGTGATCCGATTAGACTAAATCACAATTCATCACCGTTTCCAAACGTTCAACCGATAAACCAGTGACCAGTCCAGTGGCAGTGTTTTCATAACCCAATTTGGTATCTGGGTGGAATCGAATTTCGACATCCGGCCCAAAGCGAAGCAGCGGCTTGAGTGTATTAAAAGTGTAACTCGATGGTGGCACCTCTTGCTGCAAACATATTTCATACTTGATCCCAGGTTTGATGAGGATTGGTGATGGTAAGTCAACTTGATTTGTTCCATGAGTCACCAATGTTATTTCCCCATTGAAGAGAATTTTAGGAGACTTTTTCTTTTGAGGTTGATCATCGTGACCTTTCGTTGTGATCGTTATTTTCGATATGGGAAACTTTACTACGAAATAAGTCCACTTTTCCTTATTAAAGTGGTACACATTGGCAAATGAAATACCTTTCAACATTAATGACTTGTTAGATGAAAATGTTGTCGTCTCGATGTTTTTGATCACGAAGCTATCGTTTACTATGCGACTGAGACGTATGCTCTGATTATTGGATCCTTGGGCTGAGGCCCATTTCACGAATTTTGTCGGTTGAAATTCCGATGAAGCGACCATTTGAATAATTTCCACCAAATCCTCATTTGCAAATAATGTGGCATTGGGCGGAACAAAATTAAAGAAATTGGCCTGAGAAATTAAAGCGAATGGCATTTCGTAGAATGCTTGACCCAGTTGATCACGTACATTTTGCGGTTGATCACCATCCAAACCTTTCTGTTGACATGCGGATTTTGCCCAAGCGATGCAAGCTTGGAACACGTCTGTGTTTGGACCACTTAATGGATCCAATTTCAAAATGTGACGAAGTACTTTTTGGTCACATTCCATGAAGCACCTTGATTGGACTACAGCTGAAATTTCGGATTTGGCAAGTGTGTTGCAAAATTCCATCAGGTCTTTACGCTTGAATAGAACAGCTACCTCATATGCCCAACACACGGTGTCTGCTGTCAAATTTTGCATCAAAAATGTTGAACACGCATCCGAACATTCGGTGATTTCGTATTTTTCGCCTAGATACATGACACCAGGGACATGTTCCATTGTCAATGTTACGTCGGCCAAATAGAAATATTGTAAAAACTCCTTGAATGCCCCGAACGATACATCGACAATTTCAACTTCGGTTTTTTCTTCTAGCGAACCATAAAACATAGTGTGAAACACTGGACTAGCAGCGGCTAAGATAATTTTATGGACTGGTAATTTCATCGGCCGATCGTTGTCGGAATCGAACACAAAATGAAAATTAGCCGAGTCTTCGTCCAAAAACAGTTTTTTGGTTGCTCGTGCCGCAGCATTGCTGGAGAATGATGTTGTGACAGTCGCATCCAACGGGACTGGGATAATCGTCTTCATTTTCTTCGCTGATCCGTTTCCGTATGTTATGACTTTTGAATGTGGCTATGATTAGACAATTCAAGTTGATTAGTTGCTGTACATTTACAATTGAAAGAACGTGACTACTGCTTTCGAGACTTACTAGATAGGTCACCTGAAAATTTGTGTTTGGGACAATTGGACAAATGAACAGATAACTTCTCGAACGCTGTGTACTACACGACAGGTGAACTAAAATGACATTGATGTACTTTGTTTGATTAGACTTTTAATTTGAAGTTGGTTCAAAGGAAATTAACATGAAGTTATTTGATAGGAACCGAAAATGGAAGTTCTTGTAAACTTTATATTCATTTTTCTTAACGAAAATCACTTCCAAATGCAAAAAGAATTGATTTTATTTAAACCTACTCCAGTAATGAGACTACCTTTAGTTTACGATTCGACTAATTATTTGCTGCTTTAGAATGTAATGACTTTGAACGATTGTAAGTAAAATGATTTTAATTTTTACTTTTTATTTTATTTAATGTTTTAGTGTTATTCACTCGAGAGACGAAACGTGACTAAAATAAAATGCAAGCTCGTTGAACTTAGGTAGACAGTTATTTTTGCACGGCTATCGGCTAATGATGCTAGAGAGTGACAGTTGCGCCTGATTAAAAACAGTTGAAGGATAATCAAGAGCCTCATTAGCCATGCAAAAATATAGGCTTTATTTTCCGTTGCATCTGGCTCAACTAATCCACCCAAGATGGAATGTTGCCGGGTAAATTATTACAGATATTTGCAATTTGCGTGCAATGGGGCTTACCTGAATCATGGTATGTGTGTTTTTTGGGGATTACAAGGATCATATACGTCGAATTCAACGAAAATCATTCTGAAAAGCATCAATGTTTAACCTTGTGTTTGAGGACTTTTTCATCCATGCCATCACAAAAAGTCATATGGTTAAGCGAAGAGAAACGAAGAACGTAGTTAACTCATACTATAGTTGCAAATAACAATTTTATTTTTCAAATCTAATGGTATTTCGAATCTATTTCAAATTGAGTACAAACATACAAACATTTTTTTGACGTGTCAGTTGCTCGCAGCTAACTCGTAGATTTGCTAAACGATTTCTGAGCTACGATTTGCAGCGATTCGTGTTCAGAATTTTATGCGCTTGTTCGAGTCTACATAGAAATTATGCGAATCGTTTCTGTGTCACGATGACAAATAAGCCCATCTCCATGAAGCAAGTATTGTGTTGGAAAAAAGCTACTTATCTTATATCTTGGCGAATGTTGTTGTGTCACGTTGAACTTCCACCAAACTCTATCAAAACAATTTCATTTTGTTCTAATGAATCGAAAACGAATTTGTTCCAAACATTCGTTTTTGGATGGCTGAGCAGCTGAGCTTTTCGTGTGCAGCGGATGTATCTCAGTATATCGACCACGCAGGTCAGTGCATGAATTGCTGAACACAGTTTATGTGTGTAGTTGATGTGGCTTTGCATCGCAACGCACGCCAATTATACACTGACTTCCGTTGTCGATATGCTGAGATACATCCGCTGCACACGAAAAGCTAATCTGCTCAGCCATTCAAAAACGATTTGTTCATAAGCTATACAAATTAAAACGATAAAATATGTTTAAGATTAACCATATTTTATGCGGTTTTAAAACGATTGAAATTTCATTCACTGAAGAACCAAGTCAATATATGGCAATATATTCACAGACGATTTTTTTTAAATTTAAACTAGTTAGTTATCTGAACGAGACTTCAAATCCAGTTCATTTCCCCGGCTGGAAGTGCATTCCATTGGAATTGATTGTCCGTTACCAACTTCACATCCAACTGTCATTTACACTTCTTATATCAATGCAATAGAACGTCATTTCCATTATTGTTGTGAAACTTATCTGTTCTGCGTCATTAAAAAAAAAACATTGAATTCAGTGGAAAAAAAATCATTTTTCAATCAAATAAGTGACAATTGTTACTCTTATCATTGTTTCCTTGCAAATTTCATTTCAGATTGTTGAAAAAAAGAAACAAAATTTTTAATCGGAGCCCAAAAAAAATTCTTGTACAAAAATGTTTCTCCAGTCAAAAATAAAATACAAACCTCCAGTGCAATCGTTAAATATATTGTGGAAAAAGGAATCCAATTCTGATTTGTTCATTGATATTTTCTCAGAAAAAGCATATAAAATATCGTTGGATCAAGTTGAGCAGCAGATTAAAACTGAAAAAGAGCGCGGCACCTGGAATGTGAATAACAATGAAGGTTCATCCTATAACCGTGAAATTGGTAAAGAAGAATATTCCAAAAACAACTACATAGTTGCAATGCGAAGTTTTAATACTGCTCTAAAATATTCGGAAAATGGTTCTAAAGAAGAAGCACTAGCCTATGCGAATCGATCGGCGTGTTTTCTACGCTTGGGTATGCCCGAAGAATGTCTAGCTGACATCATTTTGGCAAAGAAGTCAGAATACCCAGAGCATTTAATGCCCAAGCTTGATGAACGTTCAAAACAATGCATCAGTTTGTTGAAAAGTGAACAATTCAAAAAAGAGCGATTCACATTATTTGAGCCAAAATTAGATTTTAATGAGCATGAAGAATTTGCGGGCGTGGCAAATTGTTTGGAACAACGTATAAACGATACATTTGGCCTATAGTGGTATGGACAGAGTAAATGAAAGACTGTGTTGTTAGGTTGACTCCATAAATAAGAATGAATGTTTATTCAGCATATGGTAACTCGTAACCTACGTATGTTGTTTATGTTACGCTACGTTGTGAATGTTGTTCATATGTATTTATATGCATTACACCTCCTTTCTTTAGGAGAATAGATTTACAATTGTCAAACTAAATTAAACGGGTAGCTAAGCCGTTGTGAGCCTTAAATTTTAGATTGCACTTATTCTACATATTGCTCCCTTTTTTTAAAGATTGTAAATCTATTCGTCAACTTTTTTTTCTGTTTCTATTTTTCTTTTGATTTTATTTGATTTTGTTTATTTTTTTTTCTTTCTTTTGTTACGTTTCCATTTATATTTTCCATTTTTTTTTGTTTTCAATTAAATCTATTCAAAATAAGTTTCAAAGTGTTTTCAATAACAAGGTAAAATGATAAAAGATAAAAGATACAAGAATAAAATTGATTTTAAGAGAAAGTAAAATGAATTAATAATTATATTCTTATTTGATTTTTATGAACTGTTTTTCTTGTTTTCATACTATCTTCTAAAATGAAATTTGGCTCCTCTATGTCAATGACGACATATGGACCTTGATTTACGTTTTTATGCTTATCGTACGGTAATGATTCGACGTATACCTTATCTCCTATACTTAAACTTACGTCTCTATGTTTTGCGTCATAAAAGTGTTTGTTTGTTTCTTTCGACTTAACTAGTAGCTTATGCGCTTCACGATGCGCTATTTCTAACCTATACTTAGCTTCATTTACGTAGTTATCGAAATTATAGACCGGAGAAACTTCTTTGGTTAGTTCCGACGGTACATTTGGTTCTCTGTTAAAAACTAACTGATAAGGAGAAAACTTATTTCTAAAACTACTGTGGGGGGATGTATTGTAACAAAAAGTGAAGTATTTTAAGTATTCTTCCCATTGAACTGTGTTTAAGATATATGATCTAAAATATTGATTAAAAAATCTGTGATTTCTCTCTATGGATCCAACAGATTCATGACGATACGGAACGGTGAAGTTATGTGTGATATTGAGCATTTTGCATAGCTCTTCGTTAATTTTATTTTTGTATTCCGTTCCGCAGTCAGTTCTAATTTCGCGCACTAATCCGTAAACAAGAATGAAGTCTTCAAATATAGCTTTCGCTACTGTTTTTGCTTCTTTATTTTCGATTGCTTTTGTCACTAAAAATTTTGAAAAATCGCATATTATTGTGACCGCGTATTTATTGCCGTTTTCCGACATGTGTAACGGACCAATTGTATCGATGATGACAACATCAAAAATGGATTGTGGCGTCGGTGTGATTTTCATGGGCGTTTTTATTTTCAGTTTTGATTTAGATAAATGACACTGTTCACATGCCCTGACAAATTTAGCTATGTCTCTGTTCATGCCCCTCCAGTAGTATTTCATTCTTAACTTTTCATACATTTTCTTCATGCCAATGTGACCACCAAAAATACGATCATTGTGAAATTGTTTCATCAGCTCATGTTTCGTATTCACATCTGTTATAACCTCTGCAGCAGGTATAACAGCAATTTGCAATGAATTTAAATATTTTTCGCCCGCTTCTTTAAAGTCAATCATGTTGACATTTTGTAGTACGATATCGTTTTTTGGCCATTGAATTGTCGTTATTTTCATTTTCGACAGCTCTGTTTCAAGAGCAGAAAGAATTATCTCATACGAGAATCTTTCATCAGAAACAGTCTCAAATTCGAGCTCAAGGAGACATTTATGTTTCATATGTGCACTGACAATTAATTTATTTATTTTTTCGTCGACGTAACTTTGAATGCGGGGAATTTTCTTGTCTATCGCGCGATCAAGTTGCTCATATATTTTGGTTTTATGGGTGGCTGGCACATTGTTATTTTTGTCAATATTTGCTTCACTGGCTTTTTGCTTTTTGGACATTGATCGAGTTGTAACGAGAACTTTTACATCAACAGCGTTTTCTTTCAGCTCGTTGATGGAAATGCGGCTCAGAGCATCCGCCACTACATTTTCTTTACCTTTTATATGGTGCACCTCAAAATTGAATTCTTCTAATTCGAGGCAATGTCAAAAAACTAATGATGCAGATAGTTAAATTGATGTGTTTTGGTCCTACGAGTCCTAATTTGACAATTGAAAAGAATGTACAAACACGAAATATGGAGGAAAAATGTGAAATTTTGCTATAATTTCTTATTTTTTTTACAGCAGTACATGAACAGAAAAAAAATTTCCATTCAGCTAACCAATTGTAGCCCGTAAGGTATCAAATGAAAGCTAGTTCAATTCCCTACATTACTTTAGGAACCGATATGTGGATTTTGTGAAAAATATTTGATTTTTTGGGGAGGTTTTTGTATTTTTTGGGGAGTCTTTTGTATTTTTTTGGGGAGGTTTTTGTATTTTTTGGGGAGGTTTTTGTAATTTTTTGGGGAGGTTTTTGTTTTTTTTTTGGGAGGTTTTTGTATTTTTTGGGGAGGTTTTGGTTTTTTTTTGGTGTTTTTTGGGAAGGATTTTGTGGAAAACATTCGATTTTTTGGGGAGGTTTTCGTATTTTTTTGGGGAGGTTTTTGTATTTTTGGGGAGGTTTTGGTATTTTTTGGGGAGGTTTTAGTAATTTTTGGGGAGGTTTCTGTTTCACCCTCACATCATCACAACACAAGATTTGAAAATTGGTCAAACAATTTTGGTTGAACCACCATTTTCAATTTTTCGAACGGATGAAATACATAGTTTTGTGCGCAATCGTTGTTCACATTGCTTGCGTGATTACCGAAATTTCATCACATGCAAAAAATGCATTTGCGGAATTTTTTGTAACAAAGATTGCATGGAAGCATCCTTTCATAAGTTCCTATGCTTCACTCATATTTCTAATCCATCGAATCACCTGACATTTGAACTGGTTATAAAAACAATTTGCAAAGCAAATACCATATTTCCCGATGTTGATTTCTTCATGGAGACGGTGGAACACTTTTTAGATAGCCAACACATCGATACTCTAAATGCAGGACAAAAAGATTTCTTTTCAATATTTCGGCTCGTTCACAATCATGATAAATTGTCTAAATCGCAATTGAAAACGATTCCACCAACCACGGCTTTGACATTTGCAACTTTCATGCAGTTTCCCGAATTTAATAAGAAATTCGTAACAACAAAACATCTTCGTTTTCTGCAACACCTGATTTTACATCTTTTCCATATAGCTGAGCATCATCTAAAATTGTTTCAGCGGAAATCGAAAGATGATGGTAAAGTTTCATTTTCCGATTTTGAGATGTATGCGTTGGGAATGTATCCATTTGCATGTAATATCAGTCATTCCTGCGTACCAAATGTCTCTTATTATGGCAATGGCGCTAGTCTTGTATGCAAGGTAATTCGGCCCATCAGGAAAGGCGATCAGATTTTCATATCATATCGGTAAGATATTGAACGTTTACGTATAGTGAACTATGAACATTCTTTTCTACACAATTTTCAATTAAAAAATATTTCCAATCTTTTCCAGTCTTGGTGTGCCTACGTTCGAGAAAGTTCCGATTTCTGCTATGGAAAAGCAATGCCGAACTGAATATCATTTCAAATGCGAGTGCATTATTTGTTCGACTGATTTTTTTCTGCCAACAAAATATGAAATCAACTTTACAAATACCAAACTTTATAAGGACATAATGGAGGCCAACTCAATGACTATTCAAGCATTCCGAAAGTTACCGCGTGAAAAATTAAAATATTACGAGGAATGTGCGATCAAATTTTTAGAAAGATACGATCGCTTTCACCCGATCAACGAAACGATTGAAGTATGGAGAATTTTAATAACCATATGGCTGCTGTTTACGACGCGTTTTCATTGAACATAATTCAGCAGCATTAATATTATCACTCTTTATTCTTTTTTCAATGGATTTGTTTTTTTTTTCGTACATTAAGAGGGTAATGGTGAGGGGAAAACCTCTGAGAAAACCCCATAATACGTTATATATAATTGATTAGTTACTATAGTTTTTTTTAGCAGTCCCTATAATTTTTTTTTTCCATTTTGGGACCAATATGTGACATTATCTTTTGAATTCCTTATTACAATATTGTCTATGGAATGGCTAAAATATATTCATTCTATCTATTTTTACATGATAAATTTTTTGGATTTTTCTTGTATTTTACAACCTACTGGATTTTTCCATATAAATTGAAGTTATGGTTCAGTATTTTATGCTTATGAAAAATTACAATTCCGTTGTGTGAATATGTTCTTTTCTTTTTAAATGTGTGACTTGAAATCAGCTGCAGTCGACCGTTGAACATGGCATTTATTTCAATAGCAATCATTCTGTCGGTCAATAATATGCCAGCTGTATGGCTGGAGTGGCAAATCATTAGAATTTCTCGTAATTGTATGAGTGTTTCCAAGCTTGAGCATTTATTGTAACACGGGATTTGATTTGGTTATATTTTATTTTATAAGCGGGCATTGATGTATTGAATTTGATTTGTTTAGTGCATTTAAGTCTTTGTATTTAATGTTATCAGAAAAAAATTCTAACAATATCTTAAATAAAATGAATAATGAAAAATTTCAACTTGAATCATCAGATGTATTTTCGCTTCTTTTGTATGTGTTATCACTTGTTGACTTCGTCGCAGAATCTTTATCAATATGAATGAATGATTCATTGAAACTCGCCTCTTTACATTAGTATTTATCAAGTCGTGGAAATGAGCAAGTTTTGTATTCGTTCATTCTTCTTTTGTGTGGGACTTATCGCCTTTTAAGTGATAGCCGCATCGATTTCGCTGCAAATACTCTATAATTTGTAAATGAATCTCAGGCTAATTTATAATCAACGAATAATTCGAACATAATACTTTAGCAAAATAATTTTAAAGAAACTATCACCGATTTTCTACGCTTGATTTTGCATTCAGTTGGCAGAGTTCAATTTTGGAATTACTTCACATAATATTTATAATCCAATCTTCAAAGCATTTTTTCCATTTAGTGTGTGAAAAAGTTCTCAAAATAATCAAATTTAATGGTATTTTGAATTGCGTTTATGCAAACGTAACCGCAAGTATATGCACAGAGAGTGATATGCCTTGTTTGCCATCGTGGTTTATTTTGTCGTGGTTTTAATAGCAAGAGTGAGGAATTAGTGTCTGTACAAAAAAAAAGTTTGGGTCTTTAAAACTTTATCAAGACAATTTCTTCTTAAGATTTTCACGTTTCTTCAAGTTGATGAGTTTTTTGATGCAAATCATTTCTGTTTGATTTGTTACCCCTTTAAATAGTCATACTTACATGCTTATTCTCAATACAAAGTCCAATAATTATCGGATAACAATTTTTTTGTTTTTTTTTTCTTAGATTCAGTTGATGCAATAAATAACAAAGCCGTACTTCGGAAATTAGTCAAAATGAGTGGCATTGCTGTAGCTCATGCAAATCGGGCACCAAATGTGGATGAAAGCAAAAACAAACAGTCAACTTGTGATTACAGACAAAATCCTCGTTTATTTAAGCTGACCCTCGAATGTTTCGACGAAATCTTTGAGTATCTATCGTCACGGGATATGCTTGCCATAGGTCAAACCTGTAAGACAATGCAACAAGTAGTCGGTGAATATGTCAAAGCAAATTACATTGTAGCTGCAAAATACGGTGAATTCCTCGATGGATTAATATCGGTCAATCATCTTTATTTGGAAAACACTTATTTAAATCCATTTACAATCTATTCCATCAGAAACATTCTCAACAAAATGGAAATCGTCGAAATTCGCTACTGCGTCAGGCAATTCGATTTTTATGACACTTTTCTGAAATATTGTGTAAGTGACTATGCATAGAGAATGGTTTTCATGGATTCAGAGAGCTACCCGTCGAAAATTGGCTGACCAGACATTATCCGATGCTCTGTCACTTGGAATGGATCCCACGAAATGAAACTAAATTGACTGATACAAGGCAGGTACGAAATTCTTGAGGTTTTGTTGCGGATCAAAAGTGCAATTCACTTGGATGTATTGGAAGTGAAAGTTGGACATAAATTTGAACATCAAATAAGTCCAACTGCGCAGATGGTATTCAACGTAATAAATCTACTGTACGAACGAGGATTCTATAAGCGTTTGCACTTGCACATTCAGAATATTACGAAAGATTGTAGCGATGGATTGATTTCGTTGAAAGGGCTTGAGAAACTGTGTATTCGGGATATATGTCGATGTTTTACTTTGCCGTTGGTGACCAATTTGAAGGAATTAACCATTATGAGCACAACTACTATGATTAATATGGCCATTTTGGCCGAAGGATTGGTGAACATTGAACGACTTCACCTCCATAAAACAAGTTACAATGATATTTTACCCTTTATACAACAATCAACCAA